ATGGTGTTCCCTGGCTGTTTGCTCAGCCTGCTTTCTTAGATCACTCAGATGCATCTGCCCAGGAGTGGCACTGCCTGCCCTAAGTAGAATGGGCCTTCAACATCAGTCATTAATCAAGAAAATGTCCTGTTGGCTTGCCCATAGGCCAGTCTTAGGGAGACATTCTCAAAATTAAGATTCGTTCTTCTCAGATATGTCTAGGTTTGTGTCAAGTTGACAAAAACCAGCCAACACAGTAACCTGGGTTGACCTCAAATTTGAGATCTTTCTGCCTCATCAACCTCAGAAGAAGTGGACTTATTGTACGTCACTGTTTCTGACAAAGAAAGTGATTTCCCCTTCCCTTTTTGTTCAGGGCTAGGTATTGAACCCAGAGCCTAATCCATGCTAGAAAAGCACTCAACTGTTAAGCTGCACCCCATACTTGTAGTATGGAATACTGACTTTCAAGTCAGCTAGCCATATGTGTTAAAATGTTCTTTCTTGTATCTGTCAGCTGCAGTAGGTCATGCAGGTCCACAAGGATAAACAGCCTCATCTGCATTTACCATGTTTCCTAGTGGTGACATGAATACATTAGATATTAAATACACTTTTAACTTAATATTATTTTCTTTGGGGTTTTTGAGACAGGTTTTCGTGTAGCTCAGACTGACCTTGAACTTGTTAGATAGCCAAAGCCACCTGTGAATTCCAAGACCTGCCTTCACCTCCCAAGTACTGGGATTATAGGTATTCACTACCACACCCAGATTTATTTATGATATTTTCAACTTAAATTATTTGTGAAGGGACAGAACCCACTATAGTTGAAGAGGTTTGAGTTTTCTTCCTCCAGATCTACTCTTTGCCCATCCTTTCAAGTCCCAAGTATATTTATTGTGTGTGTACTTATTTCTTGTGTGATCGTGTGGTGTGTATGTTTCCATGTACATATGTGTGTGAGGACATGAGTGTGTGGAGGTTAGAGATTGCTAACCTCTCTCCCTTGTCTTTTGAGGTGATCTCACTGAGATGTCTCCATCCCTGCAGCACTGGGGTTATAGATGCTACTTAAGTCTTCTAGAAGAGGGATATATGCTCCTAACTGCTGAGCCATTGTTAGCTCAACTAAATTGAATATAATTTTAGCAGTGTTTGATGCAGTTTTTGAAAGTTACTTTTCTTTATTGATATAATTGCTATTTGTTTCTGTAATGATTTTGATTGTTCTTAGTTCTTAAAGCTGTGTGTGTGTGTGTGTGTGTGTGTGTGTGTGTGTTGGAGTTTGAACCCAGAACCTCATAAATACTAATCAGGTATCTCGCCACTTAGCCACATCCCTAGTTCCAACTGCCCCCTTACCCTCTGCTTTTGAGATACAGTTTTTTTAATGTAGCCCAGACTGGCTTGGAACTTGTCCTCCTCATTTCCCATGTGCTGAAATAACAAGTGTGTCCTGTATATACTAATTTGTTTATGGCTAATGTGGTAGTGCTGTTTTCCATTTCACAGGTGAGAAGACAAGACATGTTAACTAATGGTCAATAGAAAGTGACGTCACCAATTTTGCTTATACCATTTAAGTATATTTATTAGACCAGAGACAGAATTCAATATAGGTGGACCTTCTCCAGTTTACTGTTATTAATTATGTGTATGTCTGCATGTGGGTATGTGTACCTGTGTCCAGTGTCTATGGCGGACAGAGGTGTCAGATCTCTTGGAGCTGCAGTTGCAGATAGTTCTGGTCTGCCTGATATGGGTGCTGGAATTGAACCTGGGTCCTCTGGAAGAGAGGCAGTACTCTTAACCACCGAACCTTGCCACAGCTCCTAGATGAACATTTATTAATCTTGAATGTACCTTTTGAAATAATAAGTAGCTTTGCTTATATAATCAGTTAGGCAGTATGGTTTATAAAATGGATGTTTGTCAATACCATGTTCTACTTACCTGACCTTCCTTGGCTCACTTGGTTTCTTCCCCTGAAGTATATATTGAACAGTCAGAAGTGGCCAGCAATGGGGAGTCTTCAGGGAGATTGAGAGTTGGAGCTTCATCTGGGCTGCAGTTTAAAACCCTGTCTCAGAAATGAAGAACAAAAAGGAAGAATTATAAATAGGATATGAACTTATAATTTATTTGTTGGTTTGTGTGCCTATTGTAGAATGTTCATAAATATGGCTGGATCACAGGGTGTTAAAGCCCATGCTTCTCTGGGCATGGTGGTACCTGCCTTTAATCCTAGCTCTCTAGAGGCAGAAGTTGGTGGACCTCTGTTGAGTTCGAGGCAGCCTGGGCTACATAGTGAGACCCTTTCTTCAAACAAAACAAAATCACCAAAACAAGAGAGACTCATGCCTGAAGTTGAGTTTTGAGGTGGGTTCCATTTCTCCAAGTCTGTCCTTCTGTCTCTTTTGAGCAGGGACTCAGGCATTCAGAGGAGAGTGTTGGCCATTCTTTTGTTCTGATACAGGAAGACAGTGGAAGAGAATGACATGCAAAGAGCAAGGTGATGACTTGTTCTGACAGTCAAATAGGGAGAGAAGTCACATCCGGGCATGACTTTTGGCTTATGGTGATCATCTGGACTCCTACTAATCTGGTCTTTATTTCTAGGGAAGGCAAAGAGCCTTCCCAGCAAGACCTTGTGCCTTTTAAAGGTTCATTTGTTGTCAGCTGTTTTCTACCTTTCCGAGAGGAAAGTTGTCATCCAGTGTGGCTATATTGATAGTGACTCTGTGTGGGGTAATGGGGTTTGAATCCAAGGTCTGGAAGTTAGTGTTTGTGAATTTAAGGCAAGACTATTGTATGTGCCTTGAATTGTTATTTGTGGAACTAACTAGGGTTGAACATAGATCTGCTAATAAAGGAACTCTTTTGTTTTCTCTTGAGTAAGAGTTGTAGCTGATTGGATGTATCAGTAACCACTGCTCACTACTTTATATGGGGTATCTGTATGCTGGGCAAGCACTGTATCACAGAACTGTATTCTGTTTCACTAAGTTACACAGGTTGGCCTTGAACTTAATGACTCTTCTGCCTCAGGCTCTTGAGTGGCTATAATTATAGTCCTCCTTCATGAGGCCTGGCTCATAGTGATCTTGAACATTTAATTAAAAAATAAAACGAGCTAGCTATGTAGTGCAATGGTAGAGTAATTGCCTTCACCCTAGTGCTAGAAAAGACAAATGAACCAAATAAGAGAAAAGCCCTAAAACTGTAATGAAGTGTTCTCAAAATCTGTTAGTTAAGGAACTTAACTGTTTTCTCTTGAGCAAGAGGCATAGCTGTCAGTTGATGAGATGTATCAAGGTTATTCAAACCATTGCTTCCAGTTTTCAATGTGCCTGCTCATGTGTCTTAGTTAGACTCCTGTTGTTGTGATCAAACATGGTGAGCAAAGGCAACTTGGAGGAGAAAGGGTTTACTTCATCATTTCTTTCCAGGTAACAGTTGATCGGGTGGAGGAAGTGAGGGCAGGAACCTGGAGGAGGAACTGAAGCAGAGAACATGAGCAATGCTGCTTGCTGCCTTGTTCCTCCTGGCTCTCTCGGTTTGCTTTCTTTTTGGGGGGTTTTCAAAACAGTGAGTTTTGGAACTCACTCTGTAGATGAGGCTGAACTCAAACTCAGGAGTCTACCTGCCTCTGCCTCCCAACTGTTCAGATTAAAGGCATGTGCCACCACCACCGGCTTCAGTTTGCTTAAAGTGTTGTAAGTAAATTCTCCCAAGACAATTCTCCCAATTCAATAACATCTGTACTTTTAATGTAAAGTAACCATTTAAAATGGAATCTTTACAGCTTTAGTTTGGGTTTTATATTTTCACTATTTTATATACTTGCGTACCACCAAAACCATAAATAATCCCTAACATAGAACTAAAAAAAAAAAAAAAAAAAGATGACTTCCTATCTTTGTGAATGTGTGTTGTTCATTGCCTGCACTCATTCCTTCTTCATCCTTTTAATGTTACCTTACCCTGCTCTCTTTTGTATATTATGTGTACACACACACACACACACACACACACACACACACACACACACACACTACATTCTGCATATGAGAGAGAGCATGCATTTTTGTTTTCTTTCTAAGATTGTATGGCCTTTCTTAATATTATATTCAAAGTCCATTCTTCTTCCAGCAAATTTTTTTATTTCATTTTTGTTTAGAGCTGAACATTCTACTTTGTATTTACCAGATTTTCACTATCCACTCATGTGTTGGTGGGCAGTGAGGTTGATTTCAATTTCTTGCTCTAGTAAATTAAACAGCAATAAAAATGAGGGTGCAAATAAAATACTTGTATGGTAGAGTATGCCGAGAAATGAAAGTGAGCTCAGGTTTTCTGGAAGAGCAGTAGGTATTCTGAACTGCTGAGCCATCTCTGCACGACCACCCCCAGTTCTTGATTGCTGCACACCGCCAACTGAGCTCATCTGCAGCCCCTAACAAATAACATTATGAAGTCAAATACATTGGATGGGGCACGTGCAATTAATTGTGTTAGTGATCTTTTGAAATTGGATTATGATCATAGGGCGTAAGGACAGGGCTGTCCTTCAGGTGAATGATAAGACTAAAGGGCTTGAAAGGGTATCAGAAGTATACTTTCTATCTTGATGTGGCTCTCATTACATATTGCTTGAATGTGTAGTATTACAGACACACATTCGTACACACGTGTGTGCGGGCACACATTCAGATTGTATCTTATTGAATAGCTCAAGCTTGTTTCTGTTCTTCTGAGCCTCTCTAGTGTAGATATTAGAGGCATATACTACCTTTATCCTTTAGTTTATCCTTTAGTTCTTTCTGTTTTGGAGACCAGGCAGGCCTCATGTGCAGAGAAATCTGCCTGCCTCTCCCTCCTGATTGCTGGAATTAAAGGTGTACCACCCCACCCCGCCTTTTCTTTAGGTGAAGTTTTTTGGAGTTCATTTTCTGCCTATAAAATCTGTTCATTAATTCTTGTAGGAATCTGACTAATGCTATTTATCTTATCTCCAGTTTTGGCTTTGGTTGAAGACAGAACTTAGCATATATGTACTGCTTTACCCACTGGAAGAATGACAGATGACAAAGATGTGCTTCGAGACGTGTGGTTTGGACGAATTCCAACTTGCTTCACCCTGTATCAGGATGAGATAACCGAGAGGGAAGCAGAGCCATACTATGTAAGTATATTGGTTGTTGCAAATGAGCCCTGAAGGCTGTCACTCAGCCAGCATTTTATAAGCAACTGTTCCATGCTGTGGGCAAAGTGGTCAGATGCGTAGCAGGCAAGTGTGAGGCTTGAGTCTGACTCTCCAGGACCCACCTAGAAACTTCGTTGTCGGTTCTGGGGAGGTAGATACAGGTAGTCCGTAGGGCTTGCCGGCCAGCCAGGCTACCCAAATCAGTGTTTCATTAAGGTAGAGTGTGGCTGGAAAGATGGCTCAGTGCTTTAGAACACTTGATGTTCTTGCAGATGACCCTGGTTCTGTTCTTATTACCCACATGATGGCTCACAACCATTTGTAACTTGGGTTCTAGGGGCTCTGACACCTGCCTCTGGCCTTGGACATTGGTGTTCTTGTGCTGAACATACATACATGCAGGCAAAGCACTCATGCACATAAAATAAATCTTAAAAAACAAGGTGAAGAATGATGGAAGAAGGTATTTGACATTGACCATTGGTTTCCACCTGTGCATGTATGTGCACATATCCAGACATACCATGAATAAATAAATAGGGGCTGGAGAGACAGCTGAGCAGCTAAGTGCACTGCTCCTCTTGCAAGAGGACCCATATTGGCAGCCACAACTCCTATAATTCTAGCCTTTCACTGGTACCTGCACAAACATAGACATAGATATATGCACATAATTACAATAATAACCAATCTTTTAATAAACCCTCTCTAATCATGCTACCCATAGCACGTGGTCAGACTGATACACATTCCTTTGTGTATGTGTACTCGTCTGTATTACTAGAGTGGAGTCAGGCTATGGCTGCTTCCATGATAGAGCACAAGCTTAGGGTGTCAGTACCTAACACATACACAGCAGTAGACTCAGAAGTTATGTGCTGTGATTTAGTAGGAAGCTATTTTTAATAATAGGTTCAGGTTGGATTTTTTTTTAGCTTTTATTTATATGTATGGGTGTTCTCCCTCAGGCATACTATATGATTGTGGTATGTGAGGGAGCCACCGAGGGCGTCTTAACCTTCTGGGACTGTACTTAGAGACAGACACTTGCGATCTCTCATGTAAGAGCTGGGAACCAAACCCAGGTCCTCAGCTCTCAACCACATATTGTATTTTTTAAAAGTATTTAGATGGTTCCAAGCAACTAATTAGTAAAATATGTTTATAATTACATGAACTTAGGAATGCACATACACAAATAAATTGCATTTGTTCATTGATCTAATGTTATATATGACCTAATGTATGAACATAATATAGAATGACCTGGCATATTTAATAAAATATTGGGGCTTAGAGTGAAGCAGAGTGTTATAATATCTTCTTAACATTTAGTGGAACATACATACATACACACACACACACCCTACCTCAGTCTCCTGAATTCTGAGATTAAAAGCATGTGCTACCACATCCACCCTGAATTTTTTGTTTTAAAGACAAATTTCAAGTTTCTTCTGGTTTTACGGTGCTTTTCTTTATCCACACTTATGTTTATGTCAATTAAATGATATTAACCTGTAGCCCCCAGAGACAAAGTGAGTTGTTTTATAGCTGTTTCTAATAAAGTTAACAATGGCAGAAGAATGGGTGACTACACACACACATACATACCACAGACACACACACATACCACCGACCACACATACACATCACAGACATCACAAAGACATACATTGCAGACATACATGCATGCCCACACATGTACACACACACAGACACACACACAAATCAGTCAGTGTGTTGGTAAGATGGGTCAGTTTGCGGCTTGCGGCTTTCAAGAGGACCTCACTTCTATTTCTAACATACATCAGATAGGTCACAACCACCCGTGACTCCAGCTCCCAGGGGTCCTACATTGTCTTCCAGCCCCTTGACACCTGTGCATGGATGACACACCACGCACACATAAATACAAATAAAACAAAGAGTTAGTGACTGTGTGGTTGAATTTGTAATGTTTTACTTTGGCCTCACAAGTGCTAGGAATAAAGATATATATATATATATATATATATATATATATATATATACACACACATACACATATATATATATGTATATATATATATACATACATATATATATATGTATGTGTATATATATATATTTTCTTCATTACTATGACTGGTGCTGGAATTGCTTTTTCTAATTTTTCTAAATTTTTATTTCATTTTATTTTGTGTGCCTAAGTGTATATATGTGTGCCACGTATGTGCAGGAAGCCTTGGAGGTTGGGAAATTATGTCTTATACCCAGAAGCTTTAGTTACAGGCAGTTGTGTGCCAACATGTGGGTGTCAGGAACCAAACCCAGGTCTTCTGCAAGAGCAATAAAGCACTCTTAACCACTGAGCTGTTCTCCACTCCTTGGAAAAAATCCTGTTGGCCTAGAGCATGCTGTGTAGCAGAGGGTGATGATTTCATGAAGCCTCCTGGTCCCTTTTCCTTCACCTCCCAAGTGGTAGGCCTGAACCCCCCACACCAGATCTCATTGTGAAACATCAGACTGCCTTTCAACTCAAAGAGATCTCCTGCCTCTGCCTCCTGAGTGCTGGAACTAAAGGTGTACACTTGGTTCTGGCCAAAATTTTAATTTTCTTTTGGTGAAATAAACTTAGGGAAGAAAGGTTTGTTTTTAAATAAATAATTTGCAATAAACTTAGGGAAGAAAGGTTTGTTTTTAAATATATAATTTAGAATTATTTAATTCCACGTTACAGTGTACTGTTGTTGGGAAGTCAAGGCATTAGGAAGTTGAAGCATCTACTTACACCTTATCTACAGTCAAGACAGACAGAAATAAGTGCATGCTCACTGCTCATTTCACCTTACCCACACTTAGACAGTCCAGAGCCTAAACCCAGGGAATGGTGTCTCCCACGGTGGGCTGTGTTTTCCCACACTGGTTCACAAAGTCAAGGCGAAAATCATCCATAACCTTACCCACAGGCAAACTCTGTGTAGACGGTTCTACATCGAGATGCTCCTGCCAAGCGGTTCTAGATTTTATTGAGTTGACAGTTAAAGCCAACCATCACACAAATTTTTAAAAATGCTTAATTTACCATACTTTTTTGATTTCTTATATCCTCCTGTGTACCACCTGTATTGGCTTTATAATTTTTGAAAGAGTCTAGTGTATCTTTGTCATTTATTAACTATATTATTAAAGTATTATAAATATGTTTTAATATATTAAAATTAAGTTCTGTGTAAAAAGGTGATAATACTTGTGTTAATCATTTAATATTTAAGATAAATTTGATAGAATTACTTAATATCTTAATTAGTATGACATGTATTCTATAAAATGGTAAAGAAAATTGTAGATTTGTGTTAGTTATAAGCATATGTGCCCTAAACTCTACTCAGAAGTTATAACCAGTTAGAAATATTCACTATTTTAAACTCTAGCTTTTAATTTTCTATACAAAGCAGATGGCTCGAGGTTGAGGTAATCAAAACAATGCAAAGAACACAACTGTTTCCCTTAAAATTAATAGGTTTACTTAATATATCTTAGTTTTGAAACAATAATGAGTAAGTAAATGTGGCTTTAACATTTTTCATTTCAGTTGCTTTTACCAAGAGTCAGTTATCTGACGTTGGTAACTGATAAAGTGAAAAAGCACTTTCAGAAGGCTATGAGACAAGAAGACGTCAGTGAAATATGGTTTGAGTACGAAGGCACACCCTTGAAATGGTGAGTGAATTTTTCTTCATGTTAAACAGCAAATATGTGCTGGCTTTAAAACGGTGTACAGCCCAGGAACAGTTGTAAAAAGTTCTACAAAGAAAGAAATGAAGTCAAGCATGGTAGCACACACCTGTCATCACCGCATTCAGAGGCTGAAGCAGGAGATTACAGTTTGAGGATGCCCTGGTCAATCTATCAAATACCAGTAAAGCCAAGGCCAAAGAGCAGGACCCTCTCTCAAACAAAACAAAATAGGAAAGATATGACTAGTGTAGCTTCCAAGCCTTGGATTTAGTCTCTAACACTTCAGAAACTGGGCATGATGAAGCACACCTGTATGTAATTCCAGCACTCAAAGGTAGAGGCCAGAGGATCAGAAGTTGGTCATCTGTGACTATGTAATGAGTTTGGCCTGATATACATGAGACCCTGTCCATGTCCCCAACCACCACTCCCCCAACCCCTGGAAAAAAAATCTGTCTTTCCAAACTACCTTTAGCTAGGGACCCAGTATTCAAGTGCTGAGGTTTGGGTGACATTTCTCATATACACCATCATAGAAAGGAGAAAGATTCTGCCTTCTGCTTGTATGCATGGGTGATTGGGTGATAGATTGATGTATTTTCTTTTGTTAATTATATGTGTGTGGGGTGTATGTGTGTGTATATAAGTGCAGTGCCTATGGAGGCATCAGATGCCCTGAAGCAAGAGTTAGAGGTGCTGGCAACTGAAATTAGGTTCTCTGCCAGATCAGCTTTGTTTTGTTCATTTTTATAGATGTACTTTATTAATGTGTATGAGTGTTTTGCCTGCATGTATTTGTGTACTATGTGTATGCCTGGTGTCCAGAGATCAGAACAGGGCATTGGATCCCATGGAACTAGAGTTACAGATGGTTGTGAGCCTCCTTGTGGATGCTGGGAATTGGACCTGGGTCTTCTGCAAGAGCAACAAGTGCTTTATACTGCTGAGCCATCTCTCCAGTTCCACACCCTGGCTGTTATGCTATTTTTAAGATTTTGGTATTTTCTGTTATGAGAGTTTTATTTATTGTGCTTCCAAAGTTTTTAAAGTAGAGAAGCTATGAGCCAAAGGCTATGTAATAGGTCAAGATAGCCTGGGTCCTGTATTCAAATACTCCTGTGTGTGTGTAGTTGATTACAGACAGAAGATGACTAAATGGAATTTGAAAAAAAAAAATACAAGTAGGTTAAAATACTTGTTCTCAGTCTAGGAATATTAAAATGAAGAGGCTTGGAAAGAGAGTTAGGGGGCTGGAGAGATGGCTCAGCTGTTAAGAGCATTGGCTGTTCTTCCAGCTGAGTTTAATTCCCAACAACTTCATGGTGGCTCAAAACCACCTATAGTGGGCTGTGATGCCCTCTTCTGGCATAAAATTGTACGTGCAGATAGAACACTCATGCATTAAATACACAAATAGGTAGATAAATAATTTTTGAGGAGAAGATAAAAGAGACAGGAAATAACAGGGAACTTCTTAGCTATAAACAACCTTATTGTACAGATGACTTAAATCTGGGGACAACTTGGAAGGAGAGAACTTCTACGATTTAGCTTATAAGGTTAGTATGTTAATAAGATATGTCTTCTAAATATGACTTCGTTAATGTTTGAATCAGTTTCTTTACTGAAGAAGCATGATTTGGCTTAAATATACCATCTTCCTACATCTGGCATGTATCCCTTGAGAAAGCCCCACCCATCATTGGGGGGTTAAACATTCTAGTCTTGGACTTTCTGGGCAATTGCTCTTCACTTCCATTCTTAGCTCTCTGGAAGGGTTTTTTGTTTGTTTGTTTGTTTTTTGGTTTTTTTGTTTGTCTGTTTGCTTTGCCTCCAAATAGGAGCTTTCTCTATAGCACAGGCCAGTGGAGGCTCACTCTGTATTCTGGGCTGTGTCAAATCATGGCTGTTTCCTCCTGTGGCCTCTCAGCTTTTTGGATAACAGGTATGCTCCAGAATGCTCTGGAGGACCTGGGCATTGAGAGCTACAGATTATGGCTTTTTGTGCCCTAACTGCTGATATTCTACTTAACATTTTCCCCTATTCTGTTCTCTAATTTCCTAGTTGCTTATCTTAATTTGCCCAAATTATAATAAAAAGCTATTTAAGGAAAGTAGTTAACACACTGAATTCCCAATTGTTAACAATACAAGCCAAGCATGCAGTAACATCTTTAATCCCAGCCCTCCGGAGGCAAAGGAAGGTGGGTCTCTGTTGAGTTTAAGGACTTAGTTAACATGGTGAGTTCCAGGACAGCCAGAACTCTGTGGTGAAACCCTGTCTCCAAAAGAAAAAGTGTTATTGATGCACAGATAGCTTCTAAGACACGGTCTCTTGTAGGCTACAAGTGCTTTGTAATGGGACCCATTGGCAGCCCTAGTGCATTGTGTTGCTAACTCTTAAAAATTATCTGAGAAACAGAAGTGTTGGTTCACCTCAAAATCTTTAGACTTTTTGGAATGATTTGACTGGACAGTAGAGGGTGCTCTAACACTGCATCTTACAGAGTGAAGTTTCTTATTCTTGCAGCTTACGTATTCATCATTTTTATTTGGTACTTTCACACTGTAACAGTTTAAGACTTCTTTTGCAGTAAACCCTATTAATGGTTAAAATGTGGCTGTGTTTCTTGGTTGGTAGAATTCTTGCCTAGCCTATTAAGACCCTGGGTTTGATTCCCTACCACTGCAGAAAAAGATGGTAGAGAGAGGAAAGAAAATGAATTAGAAATTAGAACTTTGACCTTTGAGTACACAACTAAGAAAGGTATTTTGTTTTGGCATTTTGGTATTTGGGATTTTTAAATGTTGTGTAATTATTTTCAGAGTGAACTATAGAAGTAGAAAGTTAAAATTGACTTCAGAATTAAAAAGCAAAGGAAATAATGCCGATCTTAAACTTAGATGGAGTACAATGACTGAGCACATTCTCCAGCAAGATGCCCAGTGCAGACTTGTATAGTTTTCTTTAGAATGTGGGATGCTCTTGAGTCTGTAAATACTTTGTAGATTATTCTCTTATCTCCAGTCATTTTCGTGGTTTTTGTCTTTTCTATTCATTTTTTGTAAGGTTGTGGATTTTAAAAACTATTTTATGAAAGGCTTTTTCACTATTTTATGAAAGGCTTTTTCAGGGGCAAGGGTAGTACTGCACATCAGACTCAGGCTTTTGTAATTAGGCAAGTGCATTCAATTACTTGGGTTTGCAGTTGGAGTTGCCCTTGTTTTACTCAATGAAAAATAACTTGTGAATCTTCAGTTTGGTCAGTTTCTGAGTAAGAAGATTTATTTCCATGAAATGACCTGGGCAGTAGAACTCCAGTAATAGATCACCCTTTTTTGTTTTATTTTTTAAATTATTTTCGTGTGTGTGTGTGTGTGTGTGTGTGTGTGTGTGTGTGTGTGTGTGTGTGGTCTGTAGGGAATATTCAATAGATTGCTTGTGCAGGACAGAGGATGACTTTTTGGAAGTCTGTTCTCCTTAATTTACAATCAGGAGGTTGGATTAAGTAGACAGCTTGCTTGAACCACCTCTCCAGCCTTTTCTTTCTTTTTATTTATTTATAATATATATATGTGTGTGTTTGTGTGTGTGTGTGTGTATTATCATATATATGTGTGTGTGTGTGTGTGTGTATACACACATACGCAGGGTTTCTCATAGCTCAGGCTACTGTCAAACTTGCTGTATTGCTGAGGTTGACCATTGAATTCTGGATCCTACCTCTCCTTCCTGAATGCTGGGATTATAGACATGTGCAACCATGCCTAGAGGTTTTGATGCTTTTTGTAAAGGATATTCTCATTCGGTATTAACATGGTTTCATAGTTAAAAGGTTGGATATTTATAGACACATGTAATACTAAGTGAAATAATCATAAAACGGGATTTGCATGATGATTAGGTATGTATCTTTATACTTAGAAATGTATAAATCTTGAAAATAATAAGCAGGGACTGGAGAGATGACTTATTGATTAAGAGCACTGGTTACTATTCTAGAGAACTCATGTTTGATCCCCTGCACCCACACAGTGGCTCACAACTGTTTATAATCCAGTCCTAGGTGATCTGATACTTTGTTCTGACCTCTGAGGATACTACATACATATGGTCCACAGATATACTTGAAGATAAAATAACCATACAACATAAAACTAAATAACTATAAGTTTATTTACTTAACCCACCAGTGGTGGTGCATGCCTTTAATTCCAGCATTTGGGAGGTAGAGACAGGTGGATCTCTGTGAACTCCAGGCCAGCCTCATCTACTGAATGAGTTCCAGGACAGCATCCAAAGCTACAAAGAAACCCTGTCTCAGAAAGAAAGAGAAAAAGAAAGTTGTTTTAGTTTTAAAAAGAAAAAGATAAAACAGAAACTGTCTTTAGCAACACAGCTCTTGAGGCACCTGAACCAGGAGTTCAAGGTCAGTCTGGGCTACATGAGATACAATCTCAAAAACAGAATGAAACAGTTGCTATAAAAAGCCAGACGTAATTGTGCAATCTATAATCCCAGCATTTGGGAGGTAGAAGTAGAAGGATTGATTTTGCTATGTGTTTAGGCCAGTCTGGTTAAGATGGTAGTAGGTCAGCCAGAGGTACACAATGGGTTCCTCTCATAAACAAAGAAGATATTTTAGTGTTTAAATTAACTTACAAAGAATAGCTTCCTCTTATCAATACCAGATGATAACTAACACTACACCAAAGCACTGATGAGAATCCCTTGGGTATATGAGGCTCCTGTGGGAAACGTAAAGTTTAGAAGGAAAGCAGCTGGCTGCCGGGTAGAGCACATGTAATAACCCAGGCAAGGCTGTGTAAAGTTACTTTTCTGTGATTAACCAGTTAAGCCTATGACAGTGGTTGGTAAAATGTGCTGGAAATTTGTTTGGGGTTTTAGTTATAAATTTATGTATTTTTCTTTTTCTCTCTTTAAGATATACCTTTCATTTTTAGGCATTATCCAATTGGTTTACTATTTGATCTTCTTGCATCAAGTTCAGCTCTTCCTTGGAACATCACAGTACATTTCAAGGTATAGTTTAAATAGCAATTCCTGTTTGCTTCATTTGTGGTTCTTAATAGTATATTTTTATGCAAATAATTTTTTATTGTTTCTCCTATTTTGTTTGTTTTTAAGACATGGTCTCACTCTGTAGCCCATGCTGGTAAAGGAACTTTGTGGTCTAGGTTCTCCTGCTTAGCTGGCTTAGTGCTGGAGGTGTAGGCTAGCCAGCTTAGTGCTGCAGGTGCAGGCTAGCCTGCTTAGTGCTGCAGGTGCAAGCCTGCGCTCCTATGTCTGGCAAATAGCTCCCTCCAGGACAGGCATTGACTCCCTAGCTTCCCTCTGCTGTTCTGTTGGCCCTGAGATGTTCTTCAGTGTCTTCCAAATTTAATATGTGAACATCTTTTCCTTTTTAGAGTTGAGTAAACCATGTTTTAGATTTACAACAGGTTATAGAGCTTGTTATATATAACCTATATATAATATGTAGAGTTACGTTTCTGAGATAATATAAAAATTAAATTCCCAGGTGAGATGCGGCACGAGAGTAGAGATTAGAAACCTAGTACTGTTGAGAAGTTCCATAGCTCCTTTGACAGAAGTCCAAAGATTTGCTGAGCCTCTTAACACTTTCACTCCTGGGCTGCTGAACATGGTATAATAATTTGGCACACATGGCACCAGCTTTCACAGCCATCACAGGTTTTTGCTGTTGCTTTTTGTTTCCTTCCCATCCATTATGTTCTAGTAAGTTTTATGTTGGCTCCATGGCCACCTCAGTAGCTCTCATCAGTTTCACAGTCATTGCAGCCATGTTTCTACATACATCTACAGTCCCTGCTGCCGAGGCCTCTGCCATCCTTCTTCCCGCCATGGCATCTGCGTGCCCCCGTGGTTTGTTCAGCGACTGAAAGAAAAGCTTTAGTGGTGCACCTAGGCACCTAGGTTGTTTAATTTGTGTGTGTGTGTGTGTGAATTCTAAGTTAAAATAGAACTATTAACTCAGTAAATACTGAGATCCTGCTGTATGCTCGCCCAATACTGTTCTGGAGTTTGAGATTTATGCCTGAAAGACACAAACACACTCGGACACTGAAGACATTTCCCAGCCTGCTTTAGAACCTGAATAACTGATCCTAATAAGATTAAAGAAATTGAAAGTAAATTGCAGATCAGTATCTTTTGTGAACATGGATGTAAATGTCTTCAATAAAAAATTAGCAATTTGAACCCAGCAGTACTTAGAAAAAGCACAATACAAACTATGCTTAGTTTATCTCAAAACTCAGTCATCAATCAGTATAATTTATTACATTGGAAAAATAAAATAGAAAAGCCATACAACAAAATCAATAGATACAGGAAAAAAAAAAAAAAAAAGACAGAGTTCAATAACCAGTGAAATCAAAACCCTTTGCAAGCTTAAGGATAAAAGAGAATTTACTCTGTTTGACCGAGGGCATAGCAAAAATCATCCTAACTGATATTTTTTTAAATGGCTAGATTTATTTTATTTTATGTGTATGAATATTTTGCCTGAATGAATGTATGTGTACCATATGTGTGCCTATTACCCCTGGAGGCCAGAAGAGGTGTCTTATGTTTTGTAACTAGACTTATAGGTGGTTGTGAGCTGCCTGTTGGGTGCTGGGAACCTAACCTGGTTAGGCTACAAGAGCAGCAAGTGGTCTTAATTAACACCTGAGCCATCTCTCCATACACCTACATGATAGATCTGAGTCAGGAAGAAGACAAGGATGTCTGACCCTTCCATTCATATAAGCAGTTCTGCTGTAATCCAACATGTTTTCCTTAAAACAAAGCAAAAACAAAAACACAGCTTTTTAAGATTAAGTAGTTAAAAACCTCAGGACTTGTAGGGACAAGTTCAAAAGTTTTGATGATATAACAAGATAGGAATGCCATAATCTCACAGCACAGTTTTACAGGGACAACTGGCTAAGAGGTATGTAAATGGATGCAGTAAGGATGGCATTTCAAATTGAAAAAGACTAAAAGTTTGCTTGTGGGGACAGATGACACATAGCTGTGAAGCTGCAGAAAGGTTATTTGGAATCAGAAGTTGTAGTGGCTGCTGTTTGAGACTGTGCCTGCTAACGTCAAGTATTTCCAGTGTGGAGGCTTCAGACTTTCTGCATTCTACTCAGATCTGTTTAGCTGATATAGACTGGTGTGCACCTGCTGCTTCTTGCGGACAATATTTGTATAAGAACACACAGAATTCACATTATGTTCAAACTCTTAGCTCATGTGTCAGTTGCTTTGGAACAAATGCAAAAGATTTGAACAGAAAGTTTGCAGAGCATATGAAATTACCAATAAATACATGAAAAGGTGTCTACCATGTTTAGTCATCAGGGAAATGTAAATGAAAACCAAAGAAAGATATTACTTTACACTCACTAGAATGACTAAAAAGAAAAGGACTGATAAAAAGTTTGACACTGAGTACCCAGAACTGTGAAATGTTGCTGATCAGAGTTTGAAACTGAATGTCACTTCAAGAAAACAGTTAGCCAGCTTTTAGATGACATTAATTGCTGTTTGTAGCTGTGTATTTAGAAAGTTGAAAAGGTGTCCACTTGGTCCCTTGCATATTACTGTTTACAATGGCTTTATTAACCAGGTAAAGGTTAGAAATAATGGCATTAGCAACAGGTTTTCGGGATTAAACACATTATGACATATACATTCACTACAGCTAAGTAACAAAAGGAGTCAGTTACTGATGTGTGAAGTCACATGAGTAAATCTCAAGTCAATGTTTCACTATTTTATGTGAGATTTTATTATGGGTGAAACTGCAACAGATCATATCAGTGATTGGTAGAGGTAGCAATAAGAGAGTCTGCTGCCCAGGACACTAAATTGGTGGAGAATGAGAGTGGTGGTAATGATTGTGGTTAACTTTTGGTGAGGAATGAAGGGATGTGGTTGTTTATGTGTTGTAATGTTCTCTATCTTGTTTGGTTGGTAGTTGTTCAAAGTCAAAATTTATCTAACTAAAACTTCCTATGTTTCATTTTGTGTGAACCGCATCTCAGCAATTTGGCTTATTTAAGAAAGAGTTACTGATAGTTGAGATCATTACCTCTGCTTTGTGGACTTCATACATGTGAATGTGTTAACAGCCATTGTTATGGCCAGTGTTACTACTACAGAATCCATTGTAGGGCCAGTGTGAGCTTAACCTTGGCTTGGGAGTAAGGGAAAGTTTTCCTGGATGGTATGCCATAGAAGCTGAACCTGAAGTTGAGCATTCTTTGGCCAGATGTATAAGTAGTTAGGCGAGTGTTCTAGGTAAAGAGTGCTCTAACAGGTGAAGTGAAGACAGAAATGAGAGGGTGTTGCTGAAAGAAATGTTGGGAGACTGGAGCTACTCAAGTACTTGAAGAAGCAGTGAGGTTGTGTGTGCAGGGAAGAGGGTGGGGGGTTCGGGTTGGTAAGTAAGCAGACCCTGAGGTAATTTAGAATCTTGATGGTTTGATTATGTCCTGAAAGGAGAAAAAGTTGAGGGAGAAGGTTAGGTCTTAGTGTTTGGAAGGTCACTGTCACTCCAAATGCAAAAACATCAAGGGTGTAAAGTTATAGGCATGAGTCCTTGGTAGCTTAACGTATCAATTTGACACAGCCTAGAGTCTCAATTGAAGGATTGCCCAGATCAGAAAGGACTGTGCGCAAGTATGTTGGGGATTGCCTTGATTGTTAACTAGCACCATAAGTTGGGCAGTGAGTCCTCAACTGCTTAAGAAAGCTGGCTGAGGATAAGCCTCCCAGCTAGTGAGCTAGCCAGCATCATTCCTCCATGGTTCCAACGTCAAGATCTTGCTTGAATTTCTATTCTGGCTTTCCTCATAGATGGATTATTACCTAGAATTGTAAGCAGGTAAGTCCTTTCTTCCTTTATAAGTTTGTTTGGTCAGAGTGTTTTATCACAATAACAGAACACACTGCGTGGGTGCTGTTGTAAGGTTTTTCAGAACTGTGAGTAGTTCTTAGCCTTGGGTGTTGAAAGCTGGGAAATTCCAGATCTATTTAGGATGTAAAGTATCGGACTAGGTTTGCTCTGGAAAAGTCAGAGGGGTTGGTGGTGGCATTAGTTTATTTTTGGATTTGTTGCATTGCTTTTACCTCTAGGACACTTACTAGATATTTGTGGTTCTGAAGGTTCTAAGAAAGACCCTGGCAGGAAACATCGACAATCTTTAGTTCCTAAGTGGTATGGAAATGTGTAATCTTATTCAAGGCAAGAACATGGAATGAAAAAGAAAAGGGTCCTAGGTTACATATTTTACACAGACCACACCAATATTTAAGAATAGCTTTGAAAAAGTAAATGAGGCAGAGAAGGATGGAAATGGGAAGTGTTGATAGCAGAAACTTGTGTGTGATTCAAGAACAATCACTGTTATGCTTTGGTGAGTGCTTACAGCAGCCAGTTGAAAAGTGTTTTCTGACTAGCCAGCATGGTTAACTGATGGCTGGGAATTGATAAGAATGAAAAGGCTTTGCTGTGGACGTGCCGGGATGCATCTTGAGAGTTGAAGCCAAAGAGAAGCTGAGAAAGTGGCTAGTGCGTAGCTTTGGATAGTGTTTTCAGTGGGAAGAATGTGTGAAACAGTATGCAAGGGGGAAACAAGCAAAGGTACCTAGGAGACAGGAAGAGAAATAAATGCCCTATGGATTGTAGCAGAGAGGACTGGTCATTTGGTTGTAGCTAAGCTTGTTGTAGGCTACACTTTGGTAGAAATACAATTTTAATAAAATTGGGAAATGTTAAACGTTATTTGGTATCTGGTACACTTATTTAGCATTGGTTTGTTAATTTTTTTCTTTTGTATTTTAAGACAGGGTTTTATAGTTTTGGCTGAACTGCACATGACTTTGATTCCTGTCTTCAAATAATGAATTCTGTGGCATGTTCTACCATTTTGGCATTTAAACGTCTGTCAGCTTTGGGATTATGAGTAGGGAGGGCACAGAAGGAGGTGGGCTATGAGTCTTTATAACCCATGCTGACCTCAAATTTGTGTCCCTCTTGCCATTACCCCCTGAATCTGGGAATGTAACAGGCACGGGATTGTTTTTCCTAATACGTTCTTTCTTTTCTTGAAAAATAATACATTAGAAGAAATATTTGGGGGAAAATGCCCTCCTTTCCCAACCTTTTGTGTGTGTGCACCAAAGTAATCTTGGGAAACAATTTTTTTTTTAGGTTTTTTTTTTATTAAAGTAAATTTACAAACTATGACTTTCTATTTTTCATTTTAGAGGTGAGTTGGTGATAAAACAGCAAGAGCTCATATTTAATCAGATATTTGATTCTTTACATATGAGTTGGAAATGTATTTTAGAGAATGTATTTTTTAGATTTGCTTATTTTTTGTATTTCTAATAAAATACCATCAGTTTTGTGGTATTTCTAATGGGCTCAGTTTTTTCCCCCTAGTAAAGTAATGCTATGATTTAATGCTATTAAGTTTACTTCTAACACATCTAGATACATTCCTGGCAGTTGGTGAATACTGTAATTAAATAACAGTTACAATTTCTAGTGGGAGATCCCAAGATTTAGCTCAGTGATAGAACACAGAAAGTCCTGGGTTTGGTCTTTAGAATGTGGTGGGGAGTGTGTATGCAAAATGACAAAAAAGACACCTCCAAGCAAACTGATACATAAAGGGAAATTTTCAGAGTACTCCTGTAAAAGTGAAGTAAAGTTTAGTTTGTCATGCTTCTGGCTTGAGAATTTGTTTAGATCAGAAAGATAAGCTTGTGTACACACACAATGGCTAATGCATACTAGGAAAAATTAAAATGGAATGAATCAAGGATCTTTTGTAATTTCATTGTGAAGTTTGGAAACTCACTTGGGTAGGTGTGAACGAGATAAACATTCGCAGGTGGGAGGCATGGAGCTGTGAGGAGGGATCTGTCACTTCACTCAGCTGCTCTGGCTGCAAAGCTCTCTGTTTTACATTGCTGCCCCTTCCCTTTTCCTGAGTTCTTACTTATCATGGAGGTCGTGGAGGATTTCAGAAGCTCCCTAGATTGAGGTGGACCTCTTTTTTTCCTTCCTTCCTTCCTTCCTTCCTTCCTTCCTTCCTTCCTTCCTTCCTTCCTTCCTTCATGCATCTTTATTTGTAAGTATTCATTGCAAAGAGTTACTTGGTCTGGTTTGAGGCCTCTGGTTTCTCCTATATTATCAGTGTTGGACCCGCACTGGGCCTCCCCCTTGATACCCTCTTGTTGCCCTGTGTTGTGGTGGTCCTACAGTTTTGGGTCAGCAGGACCGGCCCTTTCATGTGCTCCAGCAGATCATAGATGGGGTGGGGGTTGGGGTGGGCCAAGTCATAACCCTGGTTCTGGGCCTGGGCAGTGGCACAGTTGGTCAGCCCACTGCTTTCCCTTGTCCTCACCACCAGGGTGAGCTCTCCTGCACTGCCCTGGCTCATCCATCCCTTGCAGCAGTGAGCAAGGAGCAAGGCCAGTTCTCCTGCTTTCTTTTTCTCTCACATCTACACCTTCAAAGCCAGCTATACTGTGTCGCCCACGTGTGGCATTAGGGGCCACTCTCCTACGTGCTGCAGCTGATGAGGGACAGCTCTCCAGCTGTCCAGTTCTTACATCAGGCCAGTTCTTACATCTGCCTCGGGGTTGATAGGTGGAGGGGCAGAATCTCTCCCCCTGCCCGTGTTGCCACATAGCAGATGAGCAATGAGGACAGCTCTCGCATGCTCACAGCTTTGGGGCTGGCTCACCCACATCACAAATGGGATTGGCTCTACTGTGCTTCCCAGGTGAGGAGTAGGGCCTGCTCTCCCACCCACCTCAAACACTGATGGGGGGAGGGCATCTTTCCTCAGCCCATGCTCTCATGTGGCAGATGAGGGATGGGGCCAGGTCTCCCATGCTTTGATTCCCGGCCAGCTCCAGGTGGGCCTTTGTTTGAAGGTAGGTGTAGAGGAATGGGAATGTACAGATTGTGTCAAACTGGTAAAGCTTTTAAGTTAATTTTTAAAAAGTATTTGTAGTTACTGCAACAATAAAATACGGTGTGCTGGGAACATTAGCAAATGTGGGAAGTTCTCTTTAGAAGCTAATTTTTATCTGCATACTTGTTTTTTGTGTTTCCCTCTGATAGAGTTTTCCAGAAAAGGACCTTCTACACTGTCCCTCCAAGGATGCAGTCGAAGCTCATTTTATGTCATGTATGAAAGAAGCTGATGCTCTAAAGCACAAAAGTCAAGTCATCAATGAGATGCAGAAGAAAGACCACAAGCAGCTCTGGATGGGACTGCAGAATGGTAACTACACAGCCTGACTTCTAAGTGCTGTGGGCAGTAGCACAAACCATACCCTGTGAGCAGCTCACGCATGAGCAGTGTAAACTAGCTCTGTCCTCCAGGCACATGTCTTCCATTCCAGCTTGCCAGTACTGCTGTGTTCCTGGATCCTCTCACAAGCCGATCACTTAGCTCATGATTTGAGACAGCCTAAGCCTTAAGTTCCTCTTCTGAAGAAAGAGTGTGGTCCTCATTCCTTAGGCGTAGCCCTTTCTGATCGTAGTTGGGAACTGCATGTGTCTTGATGGTTCTCTCCTCAGTCGAGGGATGCTGCTCCTGCCTCTTCCTTCTCACAGTAGTAGTTTATGTGCATGAGTGCTCTCTCGCCTTGCTGTGATATAGACACTCCTCCTAAGGACCTAGCCTGGTCATCAAAGTGCTTGCCCAGCACTCAGAAGCACTGCTTTTATCATCAGTGCCAGCCGGCGTAGGGGGTGGAGGCAAGGGGATCAGAAACTGGAGGTCATCAGCTGCACGGCAAGTTCTAAGCCAGCCTGGGGTACAGGAGGAAAGGGAGAGGGGAGGAAGAGGGCCATTGAGGCAAGAGGAGAGAGCAGACCCTCCTGATGGGAAATGAGTACACGTGCATTCCTGACTCTTGGAGATCTGTGGCTTCTTACTCTTTCATGCATTGCTTGCCTTCTAATGCACACAGAAATGTGATTTTAGAGGTCTGGCTTTTTGTGGTCCGTTTTGCATGGCTAAGTAATATCCAGTTCTTCATTTAGTTGCTCAAATTGCAGCTACTGTGGCATATTACCATAAACAATTAAGTAGAATAGAATTTTATTGCTAGTTTTTAAAAAAGTGTTTGTGTGTGTGTATGTATGTATGTATGTATGTATATGTATACACATGCCACATGTGTACCTGAATTCGCATGCCACATATGTGTTTGTGGAGGCCAAAGGAGGGCGTCAGATTCCAGGAGCTGAAGTTATCAGCAGTTGTGAACTGCTGGGAACGGAGTTGTGGGTGCTGGGGATGAGCTTGGGTATTTGAAGCATCCCTCTAGCCTCTACTGCTAACATTTTAGTGTGGACAGCGTTCCATCTTAGTGTGTATCCATTAATCACTATGCATTTACCATTCTCGACACAAACAGCAAGGCGTGTGGTGCTGTAGCTTCCTGCGTGTTCAGAGACTGAAAGTGTAGCAGTGATGTTGCTCTAAACAGAAAACAATGAGGACTGTTGACATACAGCAGGAAAAACCATGTGCAGGTGAACTCATTAACAGAAGTGGACATAGCAGACAAGATCCCAGGTTAAGTGAGGCTCTTGGTGTTCATAGGAAAGCAACTCTCGGAGGAGATGCAGGAAAGAAAAATGCAAATATGAATGTTCATGCTCATTAAGCAAATATTTTGGTTAGGTAGATATAGCAAAGATGGTTTCTTATAACTTTGTTATATTTTACAAATAAATTAAATTGTGTTGGGGGGGGGGGTGACTGCTTGCCTGCTCATGTTTCTGTGTAGGCTGGCTGTGGTTCTCTATTGCTTTTCACCGCACTTGCTTAGATAGGGCCTCACGGAATTTAGAGTTCTCCAATTTAGTCACACTGGCTGACTAGCAAGTCCTGGAAGCTGCCTGCCTGTACTTTGTGTCCTTAGCAATGGAGTTGTAGGCACACGTAACCACCCCTGGTTTTTTTGTGGGATCAGAACTCAGATATTCATTCTTACACAGCAACTATTATACCAGAGCCATCTCCTTAACAGTTTTTCTTTTGTTTTTTCCTCCCTCCCTTCTTCCCTTCCTCCCTCTTTTCCTCCTTCCCTCCCTCCCTTCTTTTCTTGAGACAGATTCTCACTGTCCTAAAAATTTGCATTTGTGTTTTAAATTCCTTTTAGTTTTGCTGTATAAGAAATAGTAAAATCTCCAATGTTTTGATGAGAAAGTTAGACAAATCATAGAATAATGCCATCATACCCTACCCCCATCCAAGATTGAATCTCGCTATATAACCCAGGTCAGCCTTAAGCTCATGGCCTTCCTGTTTCTACTTCCTAAATGCCCAAATTACAGGTGCAGGTGCCATGCCAGCCTTCCCTCTTATTAAAATTACTTATTTTGAGCCACGTGTCACTTTTCCAATGCACATGAGCCATTATGACAGTCGCATGTATTGCATCTTCGTGTTTACCCTTGGCCAAGAAGACACCCAGTATAAGTTCTTTCTCAGGGACACTGCACTGTTGCCCAGTCAAGAGTGTGGCTGTTTGGTATTTACTGAACTTTATGCAGACTGTAAGGCACATATTTTATGATGTATATGATAATCACGTTTCTCATTCTTCTGTTAAATTTACACTTAAATCTGGATGACATGGAATTGTTCCATAGTTTACATCTGAAATTTTTTAAAACTTGGAAAACACCACACTTTTTTCCCTTCAAAAAATGTTACCAAATAATTAAAATGAATTTATAACCTAAAGAAACCACACTGCCTGCTCAGTTGTGGTACCACATTTGGATAAACCCAGCACTTAGAGGTGGAGGCCATCAGCAAGAGACCCTGTCACAAATAAAGATGCTGGGGCCCATATAGGAGAAGATATTTAAGAAAAAGTTGACTTCATGTCATCTCAGAACTTGTGGATGGATACAGGAGGACCAGGAATTCAGGGCCATCCTAGCTACATAGCCAACTTTCAAACTAGATTGGAGTAGATGAGGTTTTGTTTCAATACCACCATCACTACCCACTCTCTCTCTCTCTCTCTCACACACACACACACACACACACACACAGAGTAAATTGTGGAGTAGAGCAATAGAGCTGGCAAGATGTCTCAGTCCATTGCCAAGAACTCTACAACCAGAGCTCATTCCCTAGCTCCCGTGTAGAGGAAGGAGAGAACCAACTCCCGTAATTATCCTCTGCCATTCATGTGAATGTCAGGATGCACACACATGTAGCTGTAAATTGCACAACAAAACGCTTAAAGTTAACTACAGCATGTTGGTGAAGGTGCATGCCTCATTATCCTTTCTGTCTAGAATACTGTTTTTCTCTTTTTCTGACTGATTAACTTCTCATGTATTTGTAGTTGTGTGAAGTCTCCTATTTGTAGAGTTAACATTGAGTACCTAACTTGTTTTGCCACTGTGTCAGAAGGTGTGATCCTCCAGCACCTGGGGACAAGACAGCCAGGCAGGGTTATGACTCTGCCATGTTCTGGGGCACTGCCATTTAGATACATTTTTATCCTTTAGTGTTACTGCACTGGCATGTTTTCTATATTGTACTACATCATACCTGTGGTTTGCGTATATCTTATATTTTTAAGCCCCAAAACAGTGTGGTCTTAGAGTGTAAAAATACTGAGTTTTGATTTACTCTTTTTCTCACATGATCAGGAAGCGATAGTAAGGTGTTTCATAAATAGTATAATAGTCTTTATATTTTTATATTTAAGGGTTTTGTTGCTGCTGCTATTGTTGTTGTTGTTGTTTGACCCAAAGACAAGATCCTGATTACTTGTGAAGTCATAGACTTGTCACCTTTTTGTCAATGTGGTTGTAAATTTTTCCAGATTCCGACAAAGTAAATGGTCTGTTTGTTCCATTCAGAGCTGCACCTGGAGAGCACCAAAGCTAAGCACAAGTTGCAACGATTTTTGAATACTTTCAAATGCTAATTTTAATTTTGAAGCCCTCTGAAGGAGAAATAAGAAAAGCTTATGAAACCAAGAAAACTCATTTAAGGCATAATGTGCCTTTCAGTTTTTTTTTTTTTTTTTTTTAATAGACTTTCATTTTAGATACAAGGATGTGCTACCTTTCCAAAATAGAGCTAATGGTCACAAACAGAGAAGAAAGTAGCATTTTAATGAAATAGCATATTATGAAGCAGTTGTCAGTCCATGAGAGGTTTTCTGTTCAATGCCACATTATGTGGGAGATTTGAGGAAGTTATTAAAAGATAACAAGAATAATACAAGGCTCAGCTTTTAACAAGTCTTCCCTGAGTATAGCTACTTCTTTATCTACTTTGGTTCTTGAGGCAAAGTTTCATGTAATTCAGGCTAGACAACCTTTTAATACCCCTGCGTCAGCTCCCAGGTGATGGGATTGTAGGTGTGCATTACCACACTCAGACTGTCAACACTTTTAAAAAAGAAAATGATATGAAGTTCCATACACTTACATAAAAATAAGATTTGACTGATTTTTAAATATGATTAAAATTTCCATTACTTATAAAGTGTTAGACTTTTTAATTAATTTATAGTGTGCTGTTTAACACACCACACACACACACACACACACACACACACACACACACACACACACCTCTACTGTTTCTCCCTTTTTAAGACAGGGTTGCAATATGGTCTGTCTTCAACTTGGGATCTTTCTGCCTCAGTCTCCTGAATGTGGGATTATATCTATATACTAACACACTCGGTCTCAGTTTGCCATTTTTAACATAAAACTGGTGTTAAGAGGAAATAGACAGGGCTGGGAAAATGGCTCAGAAGTTAAGAGCACTGGCTGCTCTTCAGAGGACTCAGGTTCAATTCCCAGCACCCACATGGCAGTTCACTGTCTGTAACTCCAGTTCCAAAAGACTCTGACACCCTCACACAGTGCACATGAAATAAAAATAGAGGCTGCTGATATAAAGGTGGTATATTAAAGGCTTACGTGCTCGAGACAGATGTTTTATGTTTTCATCTTACTGTTTTTATGGGCCTGCAAACTGGACTGGGTCTGTTCATTTCTGTTATGTAGTTCATCTTTTACCAGTGAGTCAGTCAGATCACGTTCTCTCTTGAGTTCCCTTATAGATGCAAAGGCAGGATTCTAGTGACTGATTTTTTTTTTCCCCCTCCATCGATTTGAGGACTGCCTGGATGAAGCAGAGAAAGGCCTTTTTAAATAAATAAGATGTGAAGTTAATAAGACCAAGATGGTTGTAATGGAATTAGAATGATAAAGGTTGAGGTC